ATATGGAGGCTATAAGAAAGGTTCTGGCCCTCATGGAATTTCATACTATATAAACAGTTTTTAAATGTTTATAAACAAATTTCAAAAATATTGATGGGTGTCGAGACCTTCCTTCTAGCCTCCACATTCACATTGTAAAGTTCGATGTGATTCGGTAAACCCAGTTGACGAAGTTTCATCAACGAGGGCTTTCTGATGCCATTATCGCATGACCTTAAGCGCGGTTCCGAAATTGCTTCTCATTGCTGATAATTCTGGTTCCTTATTTTTGACGCATTCGATGAAACAGACGTTCCAAGTCGTACAATGCTCCCTCCTTCGGTTACTTAGAATCGAGGGGATGCGTTTTCAAATCGCGGTCCCGTTGTCTAATTTCGAGGCCAAAAGATCGGGATTTCTGTCGAGGCTGTCAGAAGGGAGTCGAGGCCGAGGGAGACGGGCCGCAGGCGGGCGGATGAATTATTAGATCCGGCGTTTCCGGTATTGCGTCGCGGATGACCAATAGTTTCATCGAGGGATTGTTGAAGGTTCCGGAGCACATTTCCGGTTTCCGCTCGGCGGATCGTCTCCCCCAGGGGGCGCTCTCGTGGTCCTCCCTCCCTCCCTCGGGACCCGCCTGGGATTCCCGTTGGGGTGCGGCCTAGTGGTTTCCGTGGCGCGTTCTGGAGAGATCGCAAGTAGCGCCCTCCGGTCGATCGGGACTCTCGAGGATGCTCCACGAGCCCCCAAGGGTCCCGTTCGATTCCTTCGAGGGATACTTCCCCGAGAGAGTCCTCCTTCCTCGACCCGCAAGTGGCCTCCTCTTCCTGGGCTGATCATTTCGACGAGAGGAGTCCAGGAAAAAATGGTCCACGAAATAGAGTCTCTGTTTTTTATATCACCCCAAAGACCACAAGCATCGATGCTCGAGTTAAGATCCATAATCAAGGATTATCCGTCGCTTGATTAAAATTACCCCCGACATCAGGTGGCAATAACCTGACAACGGATTTAATTCACCAGCTTAACTTTTGCAAATCTGAAAATGCTCCTCCGAAAAAATTCTTCCTCTTTCCCGTTGTAGGGTGACATGTTTCTTGGGGGAGGGGGGGTTATAATTCACGGTGAATCTCATTTATTTGAAAAGGAAACAGCCTTAATCTACCGGGTACGCGTGTCGAGGCGTCCACTTTCCTCCGCCCTTCGGAGCCGCCGCCCTAATTACGGCATCGACGTCGTATCCCGGCGAAATCCGAGCCCTCCCTTAAATCTCCGGGGAAGAGCCCGGCTCTCTCCGGTCCTCCTTAACTCCGGAAACTGAGACCGATGGTTGCGTTACCGAGACCGCCCGTATCCATCACGTCGCAGGAGCTGAGTAGACGGCGCAGTAGACGGAGCCGCCAGCCAGGACGTCGGCCTCCCTCTCGCGGTTTCGGCCACCCCCGCCGACCCCGCCGCCCGCCTCCGGCCGACCCCCGGGAAACCGGGCGCAACTCCGCGGAAACTCCGCGGAAACTCCGCGAGCGAGGAAACACTCGGTGTCGCCGCCAACTAAGTTCCCGAAAGCCACCCCTTCGGCGTGCGGGGATTCCTCGCACCCCCCGACCCCCTCCGGGGTTTCTCCCGGGTTCCGCACCCCTGAACAACCGGCATCCAGCCAGGCCGCAACCATAAGTTACTACTAATGTCGTTCCCGTGTTCCGCTCCGGCCGAGTCGACCGGAGGGATTTCCCTCGCCTCGCAAAAATCTAATTAGATCCCCACCCACGCAATTGCGTCACGTTCCCCCGCTCGCCGACTGCGGCCTCCCGGAAGAAATTCCGGATCGGTTGGTAACGTAAAAAGAAGATACTCGATCGAGTAATCCTTATCGACGAGTTCAAATTTCAATCGAAATACCGCCTAAAACGAAGAACTTCGGAATCTGAACTTAATTGTCATTGTACCATTGTATCATTTGAAACGGCGCGCCATGTAACCGACGTTCACGTTTATATTGACATTCCTCCTGATATTTAAATTCTATTTCTTTACATGCATTTCATTTTAGTCTCGCGGTTTCAGTAAATGCATAATCGCGTGAAGTTTAGACGAGTCGATTCATCTATATTCTAAGACAGTATCCGGCATAGGGAGGGTTCGAACTCGCCTTTCGCGTCGCCTTAAATTCTTTTTTTAGGAGCGGACCTAGACGCGCGACTTCATCGACGTAGCTTTATTTCTTTCCCGAGCCAAGAAACGAGAGAGTTCCGACGAGAGAGAGGAACCAGAGGGTCGTTAAAAATGCCGGGCGTAAAGCTGCGAAGACCCCGCCGAGGCGTTTTCCGCACCGGCTGGAAAACGCATAACCGTAACTCGCGGCGTGCGATGATGACTGCGGCCCAAGTTTCGGGGGCTCTGCGGAGGCAAGAGCCGGGAAAGCGTTTCCCCTCTCCCGGTATATATCCCAGGAATACTTTCTTGCAGCTTAGCGCTCGGCAATTAACGGTCGCCTCATTTCCCCCGGTAAATAAATTACGACAAAGGGAGAAACGGGAAGAGAGAGGTCGCCCCCTCCGCTCGAAGGGTCCCACCGCGGAACCGGATTTACGTCCCCGGACATGGCCGCTTTGCCGCTCTTTATTGCATTACGCCTTGTTTTTCCCGCGAAATCTCGGGATCACCGAAGTAATCCCCCCTCCCCTCCTGAATCAATCTCAAAGGTCCGCCGCGGGGCGCGACTTTATCTCGTTCTCGCTTCCCCCTCGAAGGTGCGACCCGCGACTTTGGAAGGAATAAAAAATGTCCCACGACAGATTCGGCTCGGGTTCTCGGCATCTATCATACATACCGAGGGGCCATTCACTCGAAAATCAGCGAAAACGATTTCCTTCTTCGACAACCGATTGTCTTCGATTTTTATATGATAAAGAACAAGGTGATTCGGTAACAAGGGACCATCGGCCTTAAAATTGTGCCAATGTTTTCATGATTTCCAACTATTTCCAGCTGATTTCAAACATGGCCGCGAGCATTAAAATCCATTTGATTACGAGCAAGAACCTTGAGATCAAGGCCTTGAGATCGCGACAACTTTTCGATGATTTCCAACGACTTCCAGGGATTTTCGCTTGGGATTTCCATCCGATTTACCCGTGATTTCTGGCATTAAAATCTCTGATTACCTGAGCGAATATCCCCTTGGATAGTTCGAGGTCGATTCGAAAGGCGGCCATGATCCGAAGGTCGAGATCGGAGATCGGAGTCCCGCAGCGCGGGGGAAACACGGAGGGGGGGAAAAGGCAATTTACACCGGAGGCGGTTTAGCGGAATCGTTCTTGCGGGGATACGACGGCATCCCCGGTGCCGAGAGGAGGTTCTCCCCTGGATCGCGGGGTTCCGCGGCGATTCCTTAATTTCCCATATTGTGGCGCGCCGGCTATCCGAGGCTCCCTGCTGCGTTATAGCGCGGTTTAATCACACTACGAGCGCATCCCTCGTTAGTGGGATATCGCCCGAGTGGCCATAACACGAGACTACATTCCACCGGTGGCGAGAGGGAGAAAGGGGCCCCCTCGGGCTGTCTCTCTCTCGTCGGCGATTTTCCCTGCGGAAGGCCGCCGGGCAGGATCTAGAATCCCGCGCGACCGGCGCGACCGACGCGACCGGAGGGTCGCGTCGCGTCCGCCGCCAGGAAAGAAGAGACGGAACGAGCTTTCTCATAATTGTGATTTACGACCGGCCGGAGAGACCGCTGCGGCCGAGACGCGTCGCCGCTCCTTTCGTCGTCCTCCTCTCGGCGCTTCCTCTCCGGTCGTCCGATTTTCCCCGGCGAGAAAAACTTGGAAAATGATGTCAATTATGCAGATATCGGATCAGCCGATTTATGCCGGTCGGTGTCGATAGGCACGGGACGCGTATCTCGCGCGGATATCGAGCTTGTCCCGGGTTTAGCATAAGAAAGGCTTAGGTCCACAATGGACGCTGCAAGCTTCAGGCCCTCGCCGACGCCGGCGTCGAAGGGGGACACCGCGCAATCAGTGACCCTGATTTATCGCGGGCAATATACATTAAGATACCGACATTAAAACCCAGGGGTGACTCGCCGACGATGGCCGCTGCTGCGGGAGAGACGCAGCGGAGGGGTCCCCGCGTCATCCCCTAAGCCGATCCGGATCTTCTTCGGCCGTCTTTCGCGACCCCTGCTGGCCTCGATGTCGACTACCCCGGAAATAACTTTCTTTCTACCCCAAGAACTAGAAACCACCCAAAATACACACAAAAGTGCTCGTCGTCGCGTTAAATGCGGATGTAACCGTGGAGCGGCCTCTATTATAAGAAGTGCCCGCGAAATTAGCAAATTAAATCGTAACAACGAAGAAAAGTATGTCTACTCGATCGATCCAATTAGTCATTGCCAGTTCGAGCCAAGTAATGATTCTTTGAATTAACGAAATATTTCTTTGGTTCGATGAGTCTTTATTCCCGGTGCAATCCAATTTTTTCTTGCCCTGATGAACAGTCGTTTTATTGACAACACGGTGGAAAGATGACCGCGACAATTTTGTTGCTCAATCGCGCCCGCTGCACTATCGTATATTTTTTTTCTTTTTCTTCTGAAGGTAATTAGGTCCTTTTTCATCGTGTACATTTATTTCGATGCGTCGATCGCACTCGCCTCGTCCTCACACGGCGATCTGTCCGAGTTTTCAGAGAAGATGTGGGCTCCTATTCTCAAGTTCAGGCGGATTTTTTTCGCATGCTAATATATTTGCATTGTCGCGAAGTCGCGTCTTCGGTCAGATTTGAAAGTAACGGACGAAACTGTCAATTTCGCTTGCGAAAGTTGGTAATACGTATGAACTCGAGAATCGGGTCCCTGGACTCGGACCGATCGCAGCATCCACAGCTCGGTCTCCGAAGTGCGGAATCGAAGCGTTTCCGGTGCGCCCACCGGAAGCGGCTCGGCACTCCAGGAACCGAGCTCCACCAATGACCGCTTGCCGGTCTTGGAACGGAGTTCTAACCGTAGTAACGTGTAGTGTTCCCGCCGTTGTCCGCAGGTCCGAGCGGGGCGTACAGTCCGGATGCGACGATGGGCTACATGATGGACGGACAGGCGGCCAGCATGATGCACCGGCCGCCCGGTGACCCGACCTTCCACAACCAGTACCACTACCCCCCGGAGTACTACGGTCACCATTTATAAAGGTAGGTCGCGAGTTTGACCCGTCACCTCTACGCGGGATTATTGCCCGAGTCGAAAATGTTTACCTGGTGTAAACTGCATAAATGCACGCGAGGATTCGCTCGAGTTGACATCGATGATCAAGGATGAACGGGTACATTACGTAGTTAGGGCCATGACTAGCATGATTTCCTTAACTGCACTGATAAAAATCGATAGGGATTTTCATAGATTTTTTACACACCTTGTGACTGAAGTTCCGCATAAGAAAACGTGAACTGGAAACGTGACAAATTAGAAAATGCATAAGTACACCTAATGCACCCGTGACCTTGTATACTTACCGTAACGTTTGTTACAATTTTCCTTAATTTAATTTAAATGCCGAATGGGAGATTACATTAAGAATATAATTTTACGGCATCAAGATAGCCAATGATTGAGTCTGTAAATTTACATAGGCATTTCTATCAATGTATGATCAGTTGATCTCAAATTAGTGAATTCCCGTTGCTCCGATAAGAATTTGACTAACTGGAGATTAAATCCGCTGTTAGCTAAGCACCGAAAACCGGGCGGTTACCTTTAATCGCGACTTACGTAATCCTTGATTAAGGATTTTAACTGGAATATTGGGGCAACCGGCTCTTAATCACCAAATTTCAAGTGACTGCCAAACGGCGGATTTTATCCTTCGATTACCTCAATTCTTATCGGTGATAAACTATCGAGCTCAAGTCTGTTCTCAAATTTCTCCTTCGATTCGGTTAAACAATTCTGAGGACTTCGAGGTGCATAGAAAAAATAATTAAGTATAAGGCTGTTTATAAAGTAAATTAACCCGAAATTGTGGAGATTCAGCAAAGATCGATAATTTTGATTCGTGTCGTTACTAGATGCTCCGGATTCTCGCTGCAATTCTTACTCAGCCGTTTCTCCGTCACCGAGGATATTGTAATTTTCATGATTTTATGGACATTTTGTAAAATGGTGGGTTCTGTAGCAGGGCATATGCTCTCTCTCTGTTTCAGCCGAACGCTGACTAGGTGGAGGAACGCGGACGGCTCGCGGGAAACGGGAAACCGGGAAAACGAGGCCTGACCCAAGGCCAGGCTCGCGACCGGAAGTGGTGGCTGCTGCACCGGCGTTGGGACGCGCGACGTGCCGACGATTCTTGCCGTGCGACGCGCACCGGCAGCCGAGGCGAGTCGAAGTCTTCGGGAAGCGGAAGAGAGGTAGAGGAAGAAAAACGGTAGGAGGACGGAAGCGACGAGGGAGACGTCGTACCGGCCCAGGGGAAAACGCAATTACCGCGGAGAAGCGCCATCGCCGAGATGGAGTCCGGCCGCGTCGAGGAGGCGTCGCAGAAGAGCAAAAGGGACGACTGGGTGGACGAAGAAGAGGAATCGAGAAATACAGAGAGAGGAAGAAGGGGGAACGGTGACGTGGAAGCGTCTACACCGGACCGGGAATAAAACAAGAGAGAAGGAGAGAAGGAAGGAAAGAAAGGTAGAAATAAATAAAGAAAGAGAGGTAACAGCGCGGCCGGAGGGCGAGACACGGAGGGTCGCGAAGAAATTCATGTGATTGTTCTTTGTACAAAATATCGCGGTGTAATATTGTAGTGATTGAAAATATAAATGTTAAATTTTAATACGATCGCTGAACGCAAGAGAGAGAGACTATAATGAATATAGTAATATAGGCAATTTAGAGCGGGCATGTACATTACCGGTGCTCGCACGGATGGGTGTGTACGCGCGCACGGAGCCACGTGGAAAGAGAAAAAGCGAGAGGAAGAAAGATAGAGAGAGAAAGAGACGGAAAAAAAAATTAAGAACGAAAAACGGGACGGAAAGAGTTATGATCACCCAAGGGAAGGAGGAGTCGCGGGGGAGGATCGACGCGAGGACGAAATTTCGGCGACGGAACCGGAAGCGGAAAGCGCGAGACGCGCGCGGCCCGAAGTACGCGGAGCGTCGACGTTCTCGATAGGACATTCAATTTGTACAGTTCTTAATTATAAATAANAAGGGACGACGAGGTCCGTCAATTTTGACGGTTTAGTTTTCTATCCCCGTTTGTACTTGGCATTTCTGTGCCGCATTTAATTTTCGAGTATAAATACACACACACACACACACACACACACACACACACACACACACACACACACACACATACATACATACATACATACATACATACATACATACATACATACATACATACATACATACATACATACATACATACATACATACATACATACATACAACATACAACATACAACATACAACATACAACATACATACATACATACACACACACACACACGTACACTCGGGCGACCGCGTCCAGGGGCGTCCCGCCACCCGGATTCGCAGCCCCGGAGCGAATGGCGCGGCTCGGCCGAGAGACCCAAACCTCCCGACGAGGGAGAAGGGTGCGCGCCGAGATCGAGGAGCCGGGGGAAGAGGGTACCGAGGGAGCGAGGGAAGAGCAATGTATTATAGAGAGTATACATATTATATATAAGTATGTGAGTAGTAAGGTATTTAGGGCCCGAAAGTACCGTCGGTTTCGTTTATCAACGTCCTCCCACCCCCGCGCCGCCGTTCGCCCCTGTCGACCTAGGACCCACCCGAAAAGCACGGCCCCACAGCCGACCGAAATTTCTCCGTTTCTTCTGGGGCCGCGCTTCCTTCAGGGTGCGAGAGAGGGCCCTCGTTCTCTCGCGCCCTCCTCCCCCCTCGGCCCTCTCTTCGCGCCCTCCTTAGACTCCTCTCCCAGGGGAACCGCGCGCCCCCCAGACTTTCGCGCGCCAGCGGAGGGAGTTCGACGGAGCTTTAAAGACGAGTTGTGTTTGCGTTGTACAAAGTTTAACGATAATTCTTTACCACTTAAGGCACGTTGTATACGACGAGAAAACTCTTATGACCTGACACTCTTGTAGGCTTAGACTAAGGGGGCAGCACTCGAGCTTCGTCGTCACGTGCACGAGGGGTGCGACCTCGAAGAGCTCCGGTCGCGACCGCCGATCGCGATGGCGATCCCTCCTCGTTTCCGCCCCCTCGCCGCACGCGGAAAAGGACGCCACGTCCACTGGGTGTCCTTGGAGACTGCGGTTTCCGCCTCCCCTTGAGACGTAGCGAGACCCAGGGACCCTATTCTCGAGTTTATGCAGATTTTTTCGCATACAAATAGATTCGCATGAGAAGTATTCGCATTATTTCGAAATCGCGCCATTGGGCAGCATTTGAAAATCGTATTCGACCCTGTCAATTTCGCAATCAAAAGTCGATCGTACGATCTCGAGAATAACGTCCCAGGAGGTGCGTCGTCGCGGACGAGGCTTCGTTTTCCTGGCTAGTGACGACTCTTCGTCTTATCGACGATTCTAACCTCCTCGGTGTCCCGGGGGAGGTGGAGAGATAAAGAGAGAGAGGTCGACTTTCGTCCTCGCGTCCTGGCGGTCCAGCGACCGAGATCCGCGGGTCGCATCCTTGGTGCTCGCGCAAGTCCTTCATATACGTAACGATGAAAGGGTAATAACGGGTAGGAGGGAATAAGTGGTCGCCTCCGTTTCTTTCCCCTCGTCCGACCCCATTCGACGCTTTGGTCGCGCTCGAAGAAGAAGAACCAAGCGAAAAAGAGCGGCGGGCGAGGACGCCATCTTGGGTTAAACCGCGCTTACCCAGTACACCGGTAATTTCTAATTTTTTAATAATCAATAGCGACGCAAACAGATCACTGCGACCGCAGGAGGTCGCCGGGCCCCGTTTTTAAAACAATCGACTATTTATTCTCCCGTTTTACCCCAAAGACTCTGAAATTTCCGCCCCTCGGGGCATTTGCTACCCCCGGCGACTGGACGGTCCCCGGCAACCTCCTCGGCGCACTTCCTCGCCCGCCAGGCCAGCGGTTATCGATTAAACAGACAATCAAAGTAATTTCGACGGGCGAGCATCGCGGGAAAGAGAGAGAGAAAGAGAAAGATGGCGCGACTCGGCGTCCTTGCGAGCGAGTGAGAGGGAAATCATGCGAGATGCGAGAATAAATCCCGCGCGAAGCTCCGCGTCTCCTCCGCCGTCGAGCCGCGAGCGACCCCGCCTCGCCGAATATTTTGCAGTTGCATTTGTTGACCCGTAGATCGTTTAATTTTGTTAAGGCGAGGTCATCGGGATCGCTCGCGATGACCCGTGCCCCCCAGCGGCGTGCAATTCGGGGCGAATAATCGAGACCTCGAGGAACACCCCGGACAAAACCGTCGACGTCGACGACGGAACGAGGGGCAGGCGCGACGGAGAGGAAAGAAATAAAGAAGAGGAGGGGGGAGGGGGGAACCGCGTTCTAGAGAGGGCGTCGCGGCGGCGCTTCCGTTCACACACCCACACACACACACACGTACACACAGGGTGCGAACGCGCGTCCAGGTCGCGGATCCGCGACGTAGAGCGAGCCATCGGCTGTTCGTTTGCACGGAATGAGTTCACTCGATTGAATCATCGCCTTAAAAATGTATACGAATTAAACGGTAAGGTAACTAAGTAATAATCGTAATAGAGGGTACAGACGAGCCTAAAGAGGAGAGGAGGAGGGAGCGAGGACGACTCAACGGAGCAGCGATCGCGGGGATGCGGAGGGACCGGAACGGAATATATCGAGTGCGAGCGAGTGCGAGCGACTGCGAACGAGCGAGTGCGAGCGAGCTAGCGCGACCGCGTCGCCCCGACGGTGGATCGCGACGGCGACGGCGACGGTATGACGGAACGACGGAATATCCACTGTCTCGGCGAAGTCGGAGTCCCCTTCTTTTTCCACTGTCGCGCGTCGGATTGGCACCCTTCCACCCACCCCTACCCCACCCCCTGAGAGTAAAGGAAAGGCAAATAAATTGAAGGAAAAGTGAAACGAATTGTGTTAACTCTGCTTCGCGGGGGGCGAGACGTCTCGCCGCGACCTGGACCACCGAGCCCGAAGAGGACGCTGACGAGAGAAAAACCCCGAACCCCATGACTCGAGGCTACCAAGAGAACTCGAGTCGACGTCGAGCCTGGATCCACCATCGACCTCGCGACGACCATCGAGCGCGACCTCACCGATCGATCTATCGACTCGCGGCGACCCGAGGTGGGGAAGACGATGTCGAGGTGGTCTATGTTAGAGAGTGTCCATTGTATAGTGTTTTTTGAAACGTGAGCATTAAATGCTACATCTTGTGTAAGCCGCTGTGTCTTAGCGTTGCGTTGTCGATTCATTGTCTCATCCCTCGTTGCACACCCTACCGTTCCTGCCGAGGCGTACGGAGCTTTTATCTCACGCGGAATACCGGCGGAAGGACACCGGGAAGAAGCGGGAAATCGAGTCGAAGAGGTCCGAGGCTGTTTATTCAATTTTCCGCTAATAGATGGGGCGAATTCATTTTTTTCTTTTTTTTTTCGTATATACCTCACGTTAACGGGAATGTAGTACATACCCTGAGAAACAGGAATAATTGATTGAAACAATTATATATTGTTGCATGAATCATGTATAATTGCAGGGGTCAATTATCTTGATCGTGTCGATTTAAACTAATTGTCATTGATTTGAGATGATCTTTACTCGACCTGTTATTTCTATGAACGCATTCTCGGTGGCAAGATTTCGTTGTCGCGTCGCACGTTTCATTGAATCAATTAAATTTTTTCTTTTTTTCATTGTCAGTGTCCGTGAAATTACCGATTTAGGGTGGCGTGTTAATTTTTCTGTAATTTTACGGGTTAGATCTTAGAATCATATTTATTGTTACCGCCATTCGAGGTGTACGCACGTGAAGGATTAGGTTCTTCTCCCGAATTTACTCGAATTTCCGTGAATTTCCGTGAATTTCTTCGAATTTCCGGGAATTTTCATGAATTCCCGCTCGAGGTCGTTCTTCCTCGCCCCGGATCCCGCGTCCGTTCCACGTTGCGGATTCTCCGCGACCTCTGAAATATGACGCGAGGATTCCCAGCGGGGTGCGGGGCGTTAAGGGTGCGGAGGCGTCGCCGGTCCGAAGGTGCCAATTACCGACGATGGTTATTCCATGGAAATGGACCTTGTTACCCGCGACGCCCGGTGGGTCCGAGTTACCAATTACGATCCCATCGATGACCACACGGAGGAGTCGAAAACACCGCCCCCGCGAGCCAGCCGAGACCCGGCGTCTCGGGAGGCGTCGCGACGCCGGATAACGTCGCGGCCGCCTCACGACCCGACGATGCAGCAAGACATCGGAGCTCGGAGGGCTCCCCTCAGAGAGGACGTCCACTTTGGGCCGCGATAACGCCGCAGGCCCTCTCCTACGGCGTCAGGGGAGGTTATTACCGAAATTCATCCGGGGGTGTATCGTTTTCCCTCCAGGGACGCGATTAGGACGTTGTCTGGTCGGACCGACACGGCGATCCCTCCGCGGAGCTCTCCGAGAGGGATCCCGCCACGTTGACACGTACGCCAGGAGCAGCGGAACGACTCCCCAGGGGAGATAATGGCGCCCATTAAACCGTATCGTTTCTTCCTTTGGATCGCGATTCCAGGATCCAAAGGAAAGAGGTCCGAGGCCCCCGGTAAGTATCGAATGCGAGTAGCGACGATCGATCATCCGTGCCCCCCGGTAATTCTCGAATTCATCCGATCAACATTCGCCCGCAAAATTCAAACAACTTCGTCCACGAGTTTCAACCGTTGACCAATTACGCGACTCCGCAACAATGTGACATTTTTCATGCGAATGTATTCGCGTGCAAGAAAAAAAGAAATCCGCATTAACTCGAGTACCTGCCCCAGTGCGAGACTTTTCATGGGACTATATTCGTACGCGAAAAAAAAAAAAAATCCGTACGTCTTCTCGAATGGAATCCCAGTAAGGGGGTGCGCGCCTTCGTGGAGTTCCCCCAAGTTCCGCCCACTTCCAGGGGCCGAAGAGTTCCGCCCGGGTGGCGGTCCCGATCCCGCCGATATCCGTCTCGGGCGCGGTCCGCGGGACAGGTAGCCGGCGCAG